CATAAACATCATCTTCACTGCAATCTTAAATCATTAAAAAAATGTATAGGCCTAAATATAAGTACTGTATATAAATATAATACTGTTTTGCAATAAGAAATATAAAGAACATACACACAGAAAAGAAACTACTAGAACTACCAAGAATAAATGAGTATCAAAATCATATTTGTCTTCAAATGACGGCGGCTTAATGTTATGTTTTCTAGACAACGATCGCAATCTTGGAACCCAGTCAGGAAGATGAGCCCTCACCGACAGTGTGTAAAAAGGTACTACAACTTTCATTGATTTGAAAGACTTTTGAGAATTACTTGAATGTTCTAATGTTTTAAATTTATGCAATTCCTTAATGTACATTAACTATTTAACATAGATTTAACCTATTTTTTCATCTCCTCCAGGTACTGAGTTTCCTTGAAAAGGAACTAAAGCTATTTTGTCTGAGTGGTGTACGAGGCATTGAATTGACGAGGTACATTGCTTGCCAATGCAGTTCAGACTCGGGTAACGCCCACATGCAAATCGTGCGCACATTTGACGAGGATGTGCTGCCATGTGGAAGCAATATATTGCTGCGCTATCGTCGACTATTTGGAGATGACATGCCACGAGTGCAAGGTAACGTACAGTTATGTTATGTCATTCAGGTCTGCTTTGGTAAATCTATTTTGACAAAAATTAAACAACCGAATGCACATATGCAGTAAAAATATGTTGGCTGTAAATGTTACAATATAACACACATTAATGCATGTTGACATATGTTTAAAAAGAAACAAGCGACATATAGTTTCCTATCGATTTACTCTTTATAATAGCCAAATACAAAATATTCCTCATACTATAAGCTCTGTTATGAGAGAAAATATTAGAAATAGAAAAATTACCAATGTGAAATGAACATAATTAAGCAAGGTTGAACAATTTGAAACAACTTGTGTTACCAAAGGTAATGTGTTGTTTTACCTTGATGTATTATTCCATTACTCTCTAGATCGTCCACAGTCTCAGCAAGTAGTACATATACCAACAGGTATGTTTATGGATTTTTTTTCAATAATGAATCACATACTTTATATTTGATGTAAGATGGTGCTGGTTTTATTGAAAACAAAAGTTTTGTTGCAACTAACTGGTTAAAAGTCATCTGTACTCTGCTAGATAATTGTTTAAAAGTCTCATGCTATTATTTTTTTCCGAATTTCCAATTACTTATTTCATTATTTATTCGGTATTTTAAACAACGTTACGCATAAACAGAAAGTGGAAACAGTACTGAAATTTGGGTAGACCAGGGATCAATTTCGTTGGTATCATTTTTAAAAAAAAATTTTTTTTGGTGAAATTTTTAATTTTCTTTTAAATGAAGTGTCTAAAACTCATGTCAGATACAGTTTAGTCAGATTATGTTTTCTTTATAATAATTATCTTGCATGTTAGGTTTTGTGGATGACGCCACCATTGTGACAGTTTCTGACGATTTGAGTCTCAGCTGGAGAAGGTTTGGTGTCCGTTTGGGACTTAAGTGGTCGAAAGTTAACATGTTCAATGCTGATGGTACACAGACTCATAAGGCTGCCGAAAGTATGATGAATTACTGGAGGAGTAACATCAGTAGTGATATTCATCAACGTAAAATGCTGTGCACTGCTCTACAACACCATAAGCTCAGGCAGCTAGCTGAAGTATTGTTTGAGGGTGAAGTTAACGAAAATCTCGTCATTCAACAAGCAGGTATCTCAAGGATTTCAGAAATTTTATTTGGTTCCGGTATAAAAAACATTACAAAAGGAAGAACAAGTCTGGAATTGTTGTATTACAGAATAAAAAATACATAGAATGAGAAATATAAAAAAACATACACAAATATTGTATTACATATAAAATTATTAACAATACATTACAAAAAGATGAGTAAAATACAATAGGTAAAAACATAAAGATTTGCAGTTGGCTTACAATAATGCGATGAAATATCAAAATATAAATATATATAAAAATAGATTATTATTAGTTCAGCTAGCTGAAGTATTGTTTGAGGGTGAAGTTAACGAAAATCTCGTCATTCAACAAGCAGGTATCTCAAGGATTTCAGAAATTTTATTTGGTTCCGGTATAAAAAACATTACAAAAGGAAGAACAAGTCTGGAATTGTTGTATTACAGAATAAAAAATACATAGAATGAGAAATATAAAAAAACATACACAAATATTGTATTACATATAAAAATATTAACAATACATTACAAAAAGATGAGTAAAATACAATAGGTAAAAACATAAAGATTTACAGTTGTCTTACAATAATGCGATGAAATATCAAAATATATATATATATAAAAATAGAATATTATTAGTTAATTATGAAAGTTGTACATTATGTTTTTTTTAAATATGAATTTATTATACTTGAAATTTAAAATATTTAATAATATAATAAATAAATAAATGGCACCTTATTGAGGGTTGATTGAGCAATAAAAGGAATAGCAGAATGTTATCTGTAATGCATTTCGGCACTTCAAGGGTCCTGGCATTAGATCTAAGGTTAAATTTTCGCATGCGACAAGGAGGGAGCATGTCTGTGTTTGGCTGACTAAAATACATAGGAAGCCTCACATGTTTTTTCTGTAGCTTGTCATTAAGTATGTTTTTTACTCACTGTATATTATCTATCATTTTTATTTAGGAAAATGTTTTAATGATCAAGATTTGCTGTTCATTTGTGACAACGTGGAGTCTGGACCATGGAAGAGACTGGGAGTGCATCTTGGACTCAAGTGGAGTGATATTAATAAGATAGCAAAAAACAACAAATTGGTGGAAGACCGCGTCATGGAATTGCTGGTTACTTGGAGGGATAATCAATTAAAGAGCCAACAAATACCAATCATGATGAACGGTTTGAGACAACAGAAGCTCCTTAGACTTGAACAACGTGTACGTGAAAGGCATGGCTACAGTGACGACTCAGAAGTTATACCAACTCAGATAAATCTGCCGCAAATTCCAACGCAAGGGCAAGGTTAGTGAAAATCTGTTGTTTTGCCCTTCCTGAGAAACATTACATCCCCTTGCATCACTTTATGTGGTCCAGTGGTGGCACCAGTGGGGGACATTTCCCCACCCCCATTCAGACGGGCCTAGACCCCTTGTCGTCAAATAAAAAATAAAAAATATTAATTTTGCCTATCCAGATAACATTATAGTGCATTAAGTGTAGCCTGGATTCAAGGCCATAAATGTGGGTTACTCAATATCTATTGTGCAAGGTTAGTGAAAATCTAATACAAAAATACTGCTATTCTTCAAATGTGTTACCATTTTCACACATCCTGAGAAACGATCCTGATGCATCACGTTTCATGCTCTTTTATGCAAATAAATATATTCCAACATTATTTTCTCCTAACTTGGTCACTTTACACACTTGCATGATCAATGTACCCTTTACATTGATTTGTTCTACAAACTTGACCCCTGTTATAATATACAATAGTTGTGAACTCCTTGTACACTTAGTGCATCCCCAAATACTTGTGAGAAAAAATCTTGCAAAATTCAAATGGGAATCGAATCCATGACATCCTGGTATCTTAACCAAGACCACTGATCTCTCACTTAGTATCTTTATAATTTTTAATTGGGAAAATATTTTGATGAAGCAGATTTGCTGTTTATTTTATGAATATCCGTTTAAATAATAGAGCACACCTTTTCTAAAAGGATTTGTCTATACAGTATTAATGGAAATGTATGTGTTCTATTACAGGTTGCTTAGATGATATTGACATGGTGTTTATCTCTGACAAACTTGATGGCAAAGATTTGACAAATTTCGGCATCTACCTTGGTATGGAGAAACATGAAATAAATCGAATTGAGTCAGACTTTTCACCACCAATTGTAGATGCCTGTATTGAAATGTTGGTACTGTGGCGAGAAAGACAGAAAGCTGAAGTAAATCATCTCAAAACAATTAGTGAAATACTGAGCAAAGTTGAACGAATAGATATCAAGGATGAACTTGAGTCATACTACCAGAACAAATATGGCAAAATTGAAGCAAAGGTGTAAAAGAACATTTTAAAGATAACAGTGCAATAAAAAAGTTACACCAGAATATAATTTTACCGTGGTTACATACACCACAGTACCACATTAGGACACTTTTTAATTAGGAAATTTTATTTTACTCGCCTTTCGATCATTTAAACTGCATGCTTTTGATGCTGTCATACTGTAGATATTGAATACAAAATGAAAACATTAATGTCAACTTTTTCTTTTGAAAATATGTGTATAAAAACCGAAATGTCTACTGAATAATCCTAGATAAGAAAATATAATACATACTCTAAGTATTAAAATCCTGGTAATGACATAATGTCGAAATATTGAATCCCAACACAATGACGTGCATTTCAATACTTGGACTGTATTATACTTTCTAATGTATATAAAGTGTATGTACGTCTATATTCATTATGCAATTTAAATTATAAATTATTACTTATATTACGTTAAAGGTCAAATTAATATTATTATTCAATATATATGATACACCATTTGTGATGCAATAAATGTGATACACCATTTGTGATGGCATCGTGAAGAAAACAATTCTTAATAAACAATTTGTTTTACAAATTTACGAACATTTTACTATTCTGATTATCGAAAATTCAACAATTCTTACTTAATTTTCAATTGATAACTAATTATTTAATAAAATACATAAATTAAGCAATTCAAAATACTGTTTCCTCTAGCACTGAGTTTCAAGTTTCAATGCGTCTTTAGTTTCAGAATGTTCAAAGCCCAATTCATTGCCCTGAAGACTCCCCGACGATATATTAGCGAGCTTTCGAAATGGGCGACGGGGAATTCAGTCAACCACGAACGTTGTACTATGCACTTCCCGTCTCAACGCTTGTTTATATAACTTACGTTGCCCAGTCAACACACCGCCAAATCGCTTAAAGTCTGTTGTCAAATCCACACAATGAACGACTTCCCCATGTATTCGCATGCGCAGTACGGTTTCACGCTCCACTGGCCGTCGTAGAATTCAGCATCGTCCAAATCGGAAGCTGCTTATTACGTCGGAATGTGTTGTCGTACGGCACTGTCTGAGTTGGGCTTTAAATGAAATATAACTTAGTATTATCTTATGGTTAATGGTTAATGGTTATTAATTTATAGAGTGCAAAATACAAAAAGTCTCTAAGTGCTATCAGGCATGTGTAAAGATGGAACGGAAACCAAAACCACAAAATAAAAAGAAGTGAAATTTGAATACCATGCCAGCACCCAAACCGAAGTATGCTGATTTCGCGTACTCTTCTGCAGTATACCCAGTACTGCACATCCAAAAATACTTTGGAAAAGAATGTTGCAAGTATATCGTGTAGAATTGAACCCACGACCTCCAGATAAATGTGCTTAATGGGTTCTGAAACAGTAGCAGCTCCAGGAATTGACCGACAGGGAGGTTCCCATGTCCCCAACCAGAGCAAAGTGGGCGTGTCAGACATTACTCAAAATCTTTCAAAAGTGGTCCAGGGCCCCCTGAACAAATTTATAATTTAGGGGTTTCAAATGTTTATTTAGTCAATTTTCAAAGGATGGGGAAGCTGGGGCAGATGCGGGGGTGCAGACGGTGCGATCGTACCCTCTAAATTGTATTACGAAATTATATATAATTATAATTATTATGTATTATTGAGGTCGATATTCCCAAACTTTTCGCACCTCAGCCACAACCATGTTGAGGCTGAAGTGATGTGCATTCTTATGCATCCATGGGCGCAGATCATCAGCAGGGGTCACGTATCCCCACATATTGTTAGGAGGGGTGGTCCCCTCACTTTTCGTCCGCAATGGAATTTCATAAGTCAAGAAGATGCCTGAAAATTGTTGATTACTCCTAGGACCCAGAATGTTCTGACATAGCTTTCCACGACCCAAACCACGGTTACCATAGAAATGGCGTCCAAGATACAAAATATACGGCCAATGTAATACAGTAGATCCCCTAGTTTTGGACACCCTTAAGGTGATCGACACTTTCAGTGAACAGATGGGGATTGGGGGAGGGGGGCAACGTCTATGAAGGGCACACCCTTATTAATCGGACACTTTCTGAATTTCTTGGTGTACCAAATGGTCAAATATATTCTGCCTCTATTTAGTGTGAACATCAGTATAGGCCTACTGCATGTGTTCTTATATTTTTGAGTCACTCTATTCATGCCTTATGCATTCCTCCAATAGTAAGCTAAATATATTTTTTATATAAAAAGGGGAGGGACACCCCTATTAAGGGGACCCGTTTGGCCCCCTACGGTACTTATTAAACTAAA